TGAATGGTACGCTCATGTTCCGTAATACCGATGGTCGTCAATCTATTCGATTTTATACCCCCGGTCAAAAATCACATTCTTTTAAAGAATGGTCTCATCGTATTCATCTTACTGTAAGACGTTGGTATCCTGGTATGGCCCGTCTCGATGATGGATCTGTATTAATCGGTGGAGGTTGTAAATATAATACACTTATGAACAATAAAACGAACAATCAGCCTAGCTGGGAATTTTATCCTCCAAAAAACATCAATGGCCACCGTGGTACACCAATACATTCTCCATTTCTTGTAGACTCTCTGAATGCTAATTTGTTTCCACACCTGATCAGTTTAACAAACGGAAACGTTTTTGTTGCTGCTCAAAAATTAACCATGATTTATAACTGGAGAAAAAACAAAGAAACACGATTGCCTTCGATACCCAATGGTGTCTCAGTAACTTATCCGCTGGCTGGAACAGCTATTATGCTTCCTCTTACTAAAGCTAATAAATACACACCTGAAATTCTCATTTGTGGCGGTTCAGCTATAAATGACACATTACCACCGTCAAAAATCAGTAGTGAAGATCCTGCTTCAAAACAATGTGTTCGAATGAAAATGACTAAAGCAGGTATTAAGAAAGGATGGGTTATCGAACAAATGCCTGAAGCACGTCTTATGCCAGATGCCGTTCATCTTCCTGATGGTACTATCTTTATTGTGAATGGAGCTCAGAGTGGTGTTCAAGGAATAGGTGGTTACAAAGATCGATTCGGAACGTCGGACGCTGATAACCCTGTTTACACTCCTGTTCTTTATAATCCTAATGCTCCCATTAAATTTCGATTCAATCGTAAAGGGTTTGTTTCCTCCACTATTGCACGTATGTACCATTCAAGTGCATCTCTCACTGCTAATGGCACAATCATGATAGCCGGATCTAACCCTAACATAGACATAACAACAACAACAAAATATCCGACTGAGTACCGAGTGGAATTTTTCTATCCTCCTTATATGTTTAAGCGAAGACCTTCATATTCAAATCTTCCGGCACATGTTCATTTCAACAAAAATTATATCCTCGATGTTCAACTTCCTTCAACTTACACAAATCACTCCAGATACAATGTACAGTTAATGGATTTAGGTTTACACACTCATGCTGTAGGAATGCATCTTCGTTCTGTTGAACTCGATGCGAAACTTATCAATAATAATCAGTTAGTCATTACAATGCCAAAAAATGGCAAAATCTATCCACCTGGACCAGGTTTCATCTTTTTTGTCGTTGATGGAGTTCCCAGTAAAGCTGAAAAGACAATCGTTGTCAAAAACAAGCCCTGAGCGTTGTTCATTTTCCAACAATATAAATACACTGAGTTTCTGTTAAGATACGTCGAAAATTTATTCTAGAATAAGAATATGTTTGAGAGATTTTTTATTAAACTCTTTTTTCG